TCGTATATAATAGAGTATCCCAAAAGTTGGCTGTGGGTGGTGTTGAGCGCCTTCCCCCTAGTTTATCACTGATAAATTAGAGACGGCTAACATAGATAGCCCTCGTATAGCTTTGCACAAAATTCAAACTAAGATACCTGTTCGTCTGATAGTATTTTACGTTAATCAAATGTTTTCTACTATTAAGGTTTTGTAGAGGGTGTTCACTTCGAATATTTTTGCGTTGCTTGTATTAAGGTTAAATTTACCTTAACATAGTAATGAGTAGTATTTGTTTGTTTATATTTTGATTTCGCATAAAGCTACACGAGGGCTATCTTCGCTAGTTTAGCAGTGTAAGACTAGAAGGAAGGCAGCTAGTCATCACCACCCACCGCCAACTCTTTCACCAACGAATAGTGGGATTGACCGTCAAATTATCACGCCATCAGGGATGAAATGGCGAGCATGTTTGGTGAGACGGGGAATCGAACCCGCAACCCTCAGATTGCGAGTCGAGCGCCCTAACCACCTGATCATGCTGGGCCCAATGATTAGTAAAACGAAATTTATTGTTTTCTAACTGAACTTCGCCGATTTATGTTAGTTATTTATTTAACAAGTATACGCCCTTATTTATTTAATATCATGTTAATAACACATCGTTTATACTATGTTACTGTTTTGTCCTAGAACAGATATTGGAGCAATTAATCATGTGAACTTGGAAATTGGTCTTAGATAGCCTGGTGGGTGATAGGGCTCTCGAATCGCAATCTGTGACTCGCAAGATCAAAACCCTGCTCTGAACATACTCTTCAGATGTGGGATCATTATAATGTGATGAACAATCCTACTATTTGTTTGATAAAGACTAATCTAAGTATTAGTGGTTGCTGTTAATCGGTTGGCAGTAAAAAAATTAGGAATCATGGCATATAGTCTTAGTAGCTCTGCAATAAACAAAACAAAAATTACTCTGAAATTTTTTGTTAGTTTTTTTTGTAGTGCAGAGTTACACAATGGGTTATCTGCGCTCTCTTTATTACGGATAATCGAACCCCGGATTTTAACATTGGTAGTCCGTAAACTTACCATTGACTTTCTGTCAATAAAGTTGAAAATAATATTATATTGCTTCAGTTCTAGTAGTACGTTTTTATTAAGAACTTAGAATGAATACAGCTCTTTTTTTATATAAATTATTTTCGGAATGACATATATGTAAGATCTGGTGTTCATATAAAAATAATTAATCCCAGTTAAGGCATTTATGCAGAAGAAGGTTTTTTAATGAAACAATTTATAAATCTGATATAGCTTTATGAGCTTCATTTTTGATCAACACATAAATAAATAGATCTCTTTTGGGTACAAATTCTATATTATTGCTAGATGGGTACAGCAGCTTAGACTTGCATGATTTAGCAGATGGTAACTCAGTTTCACACGAAAATAAGTGTAGAGATTTATCTGTAGTGCGTTTTTGCTTGTGCAAACATGTTTACAGGAGTGGATAGTTTAAACAAGTTTAAGGCTGTGCAGCTGTACAACTAGCTGAAACACTTATAGGCCCCTCAGAATATTTTATTAATTGTAATAAGGAAATGCAGTTAGAATCCTTAATGCAAGCAGTACAAATATAAAATGCTACTTGAATATTAGTTTTAATTGGAGAGTTTGTAAAATAAGATTTTTACAAACATTTTCATGCGATAGCTTTTACTAATTTTTAGCTTTCGTGTTTCTATTCAATAGCAGCTTATCCAGTTAAAACAAAAAAAAAAGAGCCAACTTCTTTCACTAAATCATATATACTTAAACATATAATAGCACCAATAGATGGCGCCACGAGCATCTCGTGTATCAAGGCGGCGGTGACAAATACTCCAAATGAGCTAATGTTATTATTTCAATAATTTTGCGCTAGTTTTTCTTTAATTACGCCAACTACGTACGAGACGTAATTTATAATTTATTAATTGATGCCGTTTCATAAGTAATCGATGGCTCATTGCTTTAAAAACTTCAACAACTAATTTTCCAAATGAATTATTTTATATGATGTCCCCCAAACATTGCCGTACTTTATTCGAAGGTATATAAAATTTCTAACTACTGGCGGTACGTAGGTAATGTGACGTCACCGAGAACTGATATCTTTTGAGAATAATATTAACAGCATTTTCTGACGCAAAGTATTCATACGCTCAAACCATAAGGATATGTTTAGATCAGGAATTTAGAATTTCCAAGAAATCAATATTCCTTGTACTTAATAATGTTTGAAAACAAAGGAATATTGGTCAACTTGGGACACCAGGTTCATCCAGCAAAGATATGCAACAAGTCGCACTCCAGACGTGGTAAGCAAAGCGTGTCTACATATCACAGGCAACAGTATGCAACATAATCAAGAAATATCTCTGTTTTAAAAAGCAATGGAAGTTACACGTACACAAGATGCTACCATTATATATTCGTTCATTGTCCTATACCTCAAATCAGCTGTAGAATGAAACATGTATCCATGCTATTCTATATGTAGACACATCGATTAGACTGTTGAATCGGGTGTGGGGAAATTGTCGTGCTCATACACTAGGTGTATAGTGAAAGTGCAGCAGGGAGAATTGGCGTGCTTTGGATATGACAGCCTTATGACTTAGCCTTTTGAAATGGAAACCACGCTGCAAATATTAACTGTAACAGCGTGGCGAGTCTACAAAATCGTTTTAATATAGCGTCCTAAGCCTCTTTATTGTACTTTAGTGATATGTTACAAAGACGGGAAGCGACAGAATCAGCTGAACGTTCTTGTGTTAAAAAGTTTTTCCATTGATGTATAAATTTGCTGTCATTAATTATAGACATAAAGAGTTAAACAATGAAGGTACTGTTGTCTGCAATTGAGTTAAACAGTGAAGGTACTGTTGTCTGCAATTGAGTTAAACAGTGAAGGTACTGTTGTCTGCAATTATTCGTCACAGGTTCAAGTTCTAACGCTAATTCCTGATTTTTGTGCTCAGAATCATATAATTGATAATTGAAATAAATGAGAAGATATATATTATCTTGGCACGTCCCGAATTTTGTCTATTTACTGAATTAAACTGTAACACTAAGAGTAGTAGTCAGAAATGTCAATCAAATATAATTAACCTAAACGAAAATGAAATTTTAGAGATACACAAATTTATTTAATCAAAACATGCACTTCAGAAAATACTGAATTTCAAATGCTAAGTTAAATGCTAGATTGTTTTGAATGTCATATTCATTATATGAAATGCTGAGCGTTGCAAATGTAGGATACTACACAAGCTCTGGCCACGAATCCGAATGGAATATTTTCTGAATCAACAACTCGAAAACTTTTACCACCTTATTAAAGTAAATGAACACAATCAAAGTAAATTTGAGCTAATACGTTTTATTTTTAATATATATATTACTGCAAGGTGAATGAAACTCATGTGCTTGATCTAACTGTAGTGCTAAAACACTCTTTTTGCTATGAAAGGCCCACCAAGGTATGTACGAAAGCTCTTAAAGTATTTGATCATGGTATGTTGTTTTAAACGTATTTTGTTCAACATTTTCTGTAATAGTTTACAGTGTTTTGTATAAAATTTGTAAAAATAGAAAATTTCAACGGAAAATAATTTTGGTAAAATGTTAAAAGCTCAACATGTATGCTCAGGTTTTCTTCTTTCTGTGGAAGTAATATCAAATATCTTTCGTTCATAATTACATCAAAATATTGTTTTTAAATATGTTAGTCTTTCTGGTTAAGCTACAAAATCATCTTTTCAAGAATAATAAAATCAAACCTTTATTGAACGATATTTGCAAAACAGAAGTACAAAGAAAAAAATGTCTCATCAAGTTCTTTAAAATATATTAATTTTTTCACAGTGTTCTTCAGGCACTTTTATTTATTCATTTGTGTGTTTCGTTAAATATCAGTCCGAAATTGAATCTAATGTAACGGATGTTAGCAAGGTGGCTTTTGTTTGCGAGAATTAAACACAAAGGTTTGTAATGTTTAGATTTGTTTTAGTAAAATAGGTTGAAAAAAATACTAAAGTAAGCATAATTTATCATTATCACGGTTTATAATGTCTTATATACTAGTAAAGTATGATTACAGTTTGATCTTACATCACAATTAGGCTTATAACTTGTTTTCACAAATATTTATTTTACTGGTCTTATTCTGTGGGCATTCAATTAAGAGGAACATAATAGCATCTCCCTAAGATTAACATATTATATTGTACTAATTTTATTGGATTATTGGAATATAATCTTTATGCCATTTTTTCTTACTTAATTTCGTTTTACCGAATCAGTTTTCTTAATTTCCTCTTTTCTTGTATCTTGTGCGATGAGCTAAGTATGTGAATTTGTTGTCAAATCGTAAAACACTTATATTTTAACTACAAAAACTGTTAAAAGAGCAATAAGTAATCGAGAGAGAAAATTATCTTTATGACAGTTGTTTGGATAAAAGTGGACCCCATTTTCTCCCTCAGAGGCATTTAACTATTTCAACAACGACTTACATTATTTTTTATTTGTATTAGTTTATGAATATATGCATGTGAATATATTTAGCAAATTATCATATGCAGAAACAATGTTTTTGTTGTCTTAAATCTTAAGCTTTTTCTCATTAATTTTATCATAACAAACAACCCTTCAGTTTTAGTAATTTAATAAATACGTGAATAGACTATTTTATGTTTGAAAAGGTACAAAAAAAGATCTTAGGAAACTGCAAGGGACTAATTTTATTATCTTGTTTAAATCAATCCATGTTCCAAAAACTACCTAAAGCATTTACAAGAATAAATTTGTTGATAATTTCATTGCTGTTTGAAACAGCATTAGTGTCTTAGTTTTAATTTCTATACATACTGCTCGTAATTATAATTATAAAAATATGTTATAATTAAAAGACTTTAAAAAAGTTAGAGGGCAAATTCGATTTCAGTTGATTTAAAACCATATATGAAGCTGGTCAAACATGGATCAGCAGCTTATACTACTACCTACTGTTTTATAAATTACTTAATTACTAGTTATTAGATGATACTTGCCCAATTAAAAATGTTAATATGCCTTGAATTACGCCATTTTCAGATAGAAAACGACCCGAAATGGGCGTGGTTAATTTGTACTTAGAATAGGTGAATTGCTAGTTCATTGCAAAGATGATACAGCAGGAGAAAAAGCTGAGTTTTCGCCACCCATCCTAGGCAGTTCGTTGCATTTTGGACCTTGATATGAAGGTACTTTTGATTCTAGTTGGAAAGACGACAGAGGAGTTTGCTCTGAGGATGAATCTTTGATTTTATTCATTCTTTGACGCCGTCTCCACTTCGCTCGTCTATTAGAAAACCAAACCTATTACAAGTAACCAAAATACATTGCAACAATTAATCATATATTCATTAAGATAACATCTTTTAAAAATTCATCAAAATAAATATTCAAATAACACTTGTACGTGTTAGATTATTCTGCTTATAGATTAATGCTCATGTTCTATAGCATTTATATCTGTTTTGGATGATAGTACAATCGGAAAACAAGACTGTTCATTTGTAAAGCTTGTTCAAGCTATTAAAATAACACTTGTATACACTTATGCGATGCCGTAAATAAAACCAAGGTAAACATACCATGCTAATTTCATTTTCAGAAGAAAAATGTAAATGTAAAATTTTTCATTGATTACACGTCTTTAAAAATTAGGTTTTCATTTGCCCCCAGTATGTCTGCGGACTTATAACGCTAAAAACCGGATTTCGATACCCGTGGTGGGCAGAGCACAAATAGTTCATTGTGTAGCTTTGTGCTTAACTTCAAACAAATCAAACCAAGGTTTTCGTTTTCTAATTCATCCTCAACTCGCAATAGATATGGCTTTATTTACTAAGCTTTGCCCTAATGACTTATATAGTGCAACATCAAAATAACCAATGGTTTTCGGTTGTTTCTGGTTTCAAAAAATAATGCTTTAATTTATAAATGCTTTACATTAGTTAATCCTATTTAGTTATCGTAATTGAAAACTAGTGTCAACACGTGCGATTCGTATGCTGGAAAATTTCGAAAACTGTTTAATACAACTTAATTCATTCCCAATGGACCAGAAAAGAGTATGGGAGTTTATAACACTAAAAATCGGGCTTTAATACCCGCTATGGGCAGAGTATAGACAGCCCGTTTTGTAGCTTTGTGCTCAACAACAAACATATAGCTTAATGCAACAATGGACAAAATAAATGAATGTTTTAAGCAGAAAATAGCAAAGCAAAAATAATATTACTGGGATAGTAGCACAGTATTGGCAAAATGTTTGCATACTGTTCTGTATTGATGGTATGCATGTAGAAAATGCCATCAATACTGTTCTGTATTGATGGCATTGTCTACATGCATGGAGTAGTTATTGAGTAAATACCCGAGTAGTAACAGAAAAAGTGGCGTATGATCGAACAAACACGTACGAGTTGTTTTTCTGGTCCATATAAATTGTTTTGAGCATTTATTCATTAAACACACTTACACACTTGTGTTATATAAAAGGGTGTGCTTTTGGTATAATCTTTTTCGGAACAGATCAACGCTTTGTTCAGGAAAATTCTCTGTACTTGGTGTAGAGTTGTGTCTCGTCACCTGCCAGAAGTTATAGGGCGTCAAATTCTTCGACAGTTCACAAATGGTACGGAGCAAACGGAGATTGCTAAAACAGTAAGGTACCCCCAGTGTACTGTATCTATAATCCTGAAACGTCATAGGACTACAGAAAACGTTGTTCCAGGAAAGTCTACTGGTAAATGCCGAAAAACTACTGCCCGATGTGACCGCGTTTTGATCAGGTTAACACGTCAAGGTCGAAAGAATTCTTGCAACACCTTACGACAGGAATGGCATGTACACATTCATTCCAGGGTTTCTAGAAGAACAGTGAATAGGAGACTAACCAAACAAGGTTATTTTGCAAGAAGGGCTGTCTGCAAACCGATATTAACCAGAATTCACCGCTGTCACCGTATTACTTGGGCAAGATAACATGTCAACTTACAGTTAGGACACTGGCAACATGTGACCTTTTCAGATAAGTCTTGTTTCCGGCTTGTTAAATCTGATGGTAGGATTTGTGTTCGTCGTTTACCTGGAGAACAGATAAGGGAAGACTGTCTTTCCCACAAGGAACACACGGTAGGTGGTGCAGTACATATTTAGGCAGCTATTCATCATTGTGGAGAAATTGCTCTTCAAATCTTCCAGGGAAACGTCAATGGCGCTTCTTAAAGGCTTTACATGGAGACAATATTTCTGTTATAGGATAGGGTAAGTCTGGCAATAACTTTGTGTTCAAGTATGTCAATACTACTGCTCTCAGTGCACGTACTGTACAGGATTATCTTGACCAGAACGACATTACAAGATTGCCATGCCAGCAAAGTCTCCAGATTGTAATCCCATTGAGAATTGTTGGGCAGAACTGAGTCAAAAAATTGCTAACCACGACCCTAAAACAGCTACTGTCTAGTGACAAGTTGGGATGAAATAATGGTGGATTACATCAATAACCTCATCGACAGCATACCACGTCACCTTGAGGAGGTTATTAGGGTACGAGGATGGCCAACCAAGTACTGAATGCTTAATATGAATTGATATAAGGCTACAAATGTTATTTATAATAAGTTAATGTTATGTGTCTTGGTAAGGTTTTGTTGTGATAGGTGAAATGCTGAATTACACATCTTTCTACAGGTGTCTGATAAAATTGTTTGCTGTTCTAATAAATCGTTCATGATATCCATAAAACATGTCTCATTATAAAAATGACATATGTAGGTGTTTAATATAACATGCATTTCTCAGTTTGACAGCGTTAACTATATTTGTATTCCATCTTAATAATAATGATCTTGTGTGTTACAAAACATGCAAACATTTTGGCCAATGTATAACACCGAAGGTTTCTAATATAAACAGTTAAAATTAAAAACAAATTATTATTTATCAGGCTTATGCAACGTCAAAAATGTTTTTTAAATTATATGAGAAACAAGCAGTGAATGTAGCCCGAAGTGCGCGCAGGGACGTATATGTTGGATTTATGGAGTTTTAACAATATTCATTAAAGCGTTGTTATATTTTACGTTACATACTATGGATGAGGCAAGAGTAACGTCTGTAACTATAGACGTTTTGTAAAGAGCCTATTTGATCTAATGACTTTCGAATTATCACTTCAACTTCTAGTGGAAAATCTAGTATCTTGTCTGAAAAAAAAAACGGAAAATACAAAGCAGTTCCTTATCAAGGTTCTTGCTTTAAGGTTTTTTTTCATAGGAGTCAAACATAAAGCTGTTTTATTAAGAAAAAAAACTGTTTCTGAAATATATATATAACTACTTTAGTCGTTTTAATACTAATATAAGAAAGTAAAAAGAGAAACAAATATCATAAGTAGCATAAATTGGCACGTTTGATCCATATCACACTGCGATCGTACAAAAAACAGTTCAAAGCACGGAATGTTAAGTAGCGTATCTTGCAGGTTATCTATAAATTTTCCCATGAATGAATACATGTTTCTTGAATTTTCTAATGGTGAATTTCAAATCGATGTTTTTCAAAATTCATATCAATCGATCAATCAATCAATAAATAAATAAGTCTATCTATCTATATATATATATACACTGTAGATTTACAGTCATACTGTGCTACTGAAGTTTTGGCAGTCTTATTTATGTAAAAAAGTATTATTTTGCAACGCTTATTATTATTATTTGTACGGCATTTCAACTCATTACAACAAAATATAATTAAACAACTTGGATAATTCTACCTATTCCAACTATTTATGTCTTCCACTTTACAAAGTGCAACAGTATTTCATTGTCAAACAATACGTATACGACAATTTTAAATACTTCAGGTAAGATGATATTACGAAGTGCGTTAAATTTTACCTTATTATACTAGGGGGGCAGCTCAGTATTACTCTACGAAGTTTTTTTTTTTTAAGTTTGTGTTCAGGTTTTGATGAACAATAAAAATGTTAATGATTGTAATTGCTCTCTTATTATTAACATGATGAATCCACCTGGATTCTAGCCCCGGTTAAACTAGTCTTAGCCGCGAGGTCCTCTCTGGTATTAACGCAAGGGTAGTGGTTCTTTTCAAATTCTTCTTCCAGAACTTCCAGCTGCTCTACGCTAAACGTGGTCCTGTTTCTGCGCAAACTGAGACGATCCCTTGTTTCTATCGATAGCGTTTCATCCGATTCTGTGCCAGAGTCATGTGTATAAAAAACAACAACAACAATAATTTACTTGCGCACTTGAATAGTTCACTCTAGACAACTGAGATTTATTAATAGGAATGAGCATATTTCTTAAAATATGTCAGAAATAATGACTTAAGCCCTACAATTACGGTACCATCGAACTATTAAAACTTTTTTAAAACTATTTATGCAATAAATTACTTATGTATCCATGTATTTATTAATTACAAGGCCGCTAATAACACACGAGTCATATAAATAATTAAAGAAAAACACCATTAATATTGTAATTGATCGCTCAAATTACCTGTACACTTATTTATTTGTTTTACATGAAAAAGAAAATTCGCCCATTTTTATTTTTAGTCAGTTGTTTAGATTACGTAACACGTAAAAATATAAAGCTACTATATACATGATACAATATATTTAGGACTAGTTATACTTGTTAGTTTGTTTTAACTTGTTATACTTCACTCAAATATAGGGAACTTTAATACTACTTTTTTTTTTTACTTTTAGAGATATACGTTTACTAAATGTATTATTAATTGTCAAAGGAATGCAACTAGCATATTATTACACATTGGTGTAAAACTGTACACTTTCTTTGGAGAACTCTAATGCTCCAAGTGACTTCCAACAAACAATGTTAGGAAACATCTTAAGCTTGTATTTTATTTGTTAATCGTAACGTAACAATATCGTATTTTTTCGTCAAATTTGAAAGTAACTTGAATACATTTGCATTTAGCAGGTGTCTGCACCAACAGTACAGCACCAAGTGTTAGCTCCATCAATCGTATACTAAGAAGCAGGGCTGCCGAAAGAGCCACAGCTGAATGTTTAAGAATGGCAAGTTGTGGAATTTACTATCCTTACGCAGTATTATATCCCTGGGGAACTACAGCTGCCGAAATGGCAGCTGTTGCCTCATATTCTCCTGTCTGGTCTGGAACCAGTACAAGTACTGTTCTGTCCAATAGGTCAGACTCCGCCATCGTATGTGATCGTAAATCAGGCAGGTATCAATCAGGCTTCACTACTGATTAGATAAGTTAGGATTTTTCTAAAAATTTATCTCTTTTTTTCTTTTTACATATAACAGTTGCTTCTAAAAAAAATGAAAACTTTTCGTTTCTTGTAACTCTGTAAATTTTAATGCGCATAGATAGACTGATTGCTTTATTACCTGTAACAACGATTATCGTGTAAAGGTATTATAACACACACACAAACAAAAAATTAAAAACAAATAGCATGAAATTATTGAACTGGACAACAAGCGAAGTAAAGTGTTAATTAGAGGATGTTTTGATCCACTTTGACGTCTAGTATTCAGGTACACTGATGATAGCCAGAGAGTAATAAGCATTCTCAACAGGTCTGGGGAACGTTAAGAAGGGAATAATTTCAAATACTGACAGCTGGAGAGTAAAAAAAAGTACAAACAACTAAGTAAGTGAAATTTATATTCACAATGGGTTTATATCTAATGTTCCAATTTCTAGTTTCGTTGTAAAACGTCTGGCTGCTATGGCAAACAGAGAGAGTTTTGGATGTTTACACAAGGCGAATACCAGAATAAGATTAAATATAATGCTACAGCGATATGTTAGACCCATATTCCTAGTACAATGTCCCATAATTATTAATTTACCTACGATAAAAATCATTACAATTATATTCAATCAAAGGAGATATAGCATAATTCTGCAATCATCACACTGATCACTCCTCATTTCTGAGCCTTCTTAAGCTTGAATTTTAAAATTAAATGCTAAAGCCAATGTTTTGCAAAATAACTAACAATTTTGTAACTTCCGGAAAACACCTAATTGAGACCACAAATAAAACGGTTTAACAGTTATATTTAAACAACAAAGGAAAACGTTATTAGGCACTAAGGCTCCAATAGCCAGATAAAACAAATAAAATCTAAACTAAACAACATTAAATTAAACTCAAAATGCAATCAGGAGTTAAATAAACCAAAATTATTACACTGTGAGTAACGTTAAAAACGTTTACAAAAATAAATTGTGGTTTTGTTTGTTTGTTTAAGCAGAAAGCTATAGAATGGGCTAACTGGGGGTGAGGATTTTAGCATTGTAAATCCACAAACTTACTGCTGACCAAGCGAGTGGCATTAACTTGTGCTAAACAATAAATCAAACTGGAAACAAAATAAAACCATATAAAGATGTACATTAAATCACAAAATAAATGGAACCAAAATCAATGAAATATTAAACAAAACAAAATAAACTAAATCAGATGAGTTCAACAAAGTGCACACACAAAAAGAAAACATAAACCTACCAGAATTTATCACACTACTAAATTAAAATATGTGTTGAAGGTTGAATCAAAACAAAGTAAATTGAAAACAAGGTTAAAGGTAAATTGAAAATCAAGAATATCAAAAAAGAAGACAAGTAACGTAAATAAAATTCCTAAACTAATACAAGACTGATTATGCAAAACAAAATATCAGCCAGTAATAACACATTTAAACAAAAAACATGCAATGTAAATTTAAACAATGAGAAAAATAACTTAAATAAACAAATACAGTATAAATTAACATGACACAAAATAAACTTAGAATTCGAATAATTATGTAGATCGTAAAAGTCACTAAGGATTTGGGTTTTTAGAATTTCGCGCAAAGCTACACGAAGCTATCTGCGTTAGCCGTACGTAATTTAGCAGTGTAAGACCAGAGGGAAGGCAGCTAGTCATCACCACCCACCGCAAACTCTTGGGCTACTCTTTTACCAACGAATAGTGGGATTGACCGTCACTTTATAACGCAAAAGTAACTAAGAATTTTTGACTAAATAAGGGGAACTAAATAATTTAATTAAATGATCTGTGGTGGACCACTTCTACTTCCAAAGATCAAGCAAGAAGAGAACAGAAGACAAACTTAAAAGCGTCCCTTGCTCTTCCCGAATGAGCATTTTTGGTCATCGTGTTTTTTTCTTCTTCTCTGATTCTTGTACAATGTGTTTCTTGGGATCAGTAGTATAAAGAAAAAGTCATCCTGTCCCAAAAGGCAGTCGTCCATGGCTCTATTGGTCACTTACCAGGATAACTATAATCTAACACTTATTATTCTATATAGCAAAAGTCTGATTTGAAAAGTCTAAGTGAGATGTTTATCAAGCCCTATAAGGTTAACATTATATCACTATCCAAACTTTTCTAGATAAAGTCTTATTTTAACAAAATGTAACATACATACCACATCCTAAACCATCTTTTGTGAATGCACGCACATATCAACTACAAAAATGTGCGTGTCCCAAGCATGCTAGTTAACGTTTAATCCACATATTTTCTATAGGACAGCACACACACACACAGCTAAGTTAGCTAGAACCATGACTGCACCACGCCATGGTAACAGGCTTACTTTTCAGCTGTACAGCAACCTCATATATACATAATTTATTCTATCAATGACTGGTTACATAAAAGGAAGAGAGCTTGCTCCATTGTGGAAAGGGATAAAACCTCAAGGTAACACCGTACATTTTAAACTGAAATTAAGCCATATAATTTACAAGTAACGACTAAACCTTCTAACGAAGAAGGTTTTAACAACCTGTCCATTCCAATCACTAATTTGTCTTCTGACACAAATGACCAACATTTGAAGTACTGAAAAGAAACTATCGATTCTTTCAATTTTGACAGTTTAAAGTAAAAAAAAGGGGAATGCCAGATCTCTTAATTTTTCACTTTAAAGTTCAGAAAAGGAACAGTTATGTCTAAATATTTCAGGTTTAAAACATAGAGAAGGAACCGTCACAGCCGAGAATGTCTAACAATATAAACCACAGTATCCCTTGATTTTTTCCTTGTCATAGTAGAAGTACTTAACCTTGTTATAAACTTATTGTATAGTACCTATTTTCGGCTAAAACATCAGAAAATTCTATCTAGTTTTTCTATCTGTTTTATCTTGTGAAATTATGAACATCTTCATCAGTTCATTGCTGGACACAATATGCTGCCGCATATGCAAGTGGTTTTTTTTCCACATCTTTTTATCTTGGATAAACTTCTCAAATAGTCTGACTCGCTTACCAATAATTCTAACACCGACAAACTCTCCTGCATGCTACTATTTGATTTCCGGCGTTTGGCATCAAAGTTTACTCCACAAATTGCATATGTTACACTTTCCTGTTCCCTATATTCGTCTAATCTTTTTATTCCTCCTATTTATGGGGTTCTCTCTCGCTCTTTCACGATCCATGCCGGAATCCCTCAAGGTTCTGTGTTATTCCCTCTTCTGTACATTCTCTATGTGGCTCATATGCGTTGCTCCCGGCTCCCTTCTCAGTCGTTTCAATATGCTGATGCCACTGCATTGGTGGACCACTGTCCCACTATGTCCAGCCTGAATAAGCTGTATTGGTGTCGATGCTGGCGCTTATGCATAAATGCCCCTAATACTCGGGGTATTCTTTTTGCCCCACACGACGTAAGTTCCGGCCTTGCCGTGACCCGTATCTGTTTGACGTCCGTATGGACAATGTCCCCATCCACCTTTCTGAATCGGTGACCTATCTTGGCATTGTCTTTTATAGACATCTTACCTGGAAACCACAACTATTCGTCCTCTCTGTTAAGGTTTCTCGCCGTCTTCATCTACTCTGTTCTCTCACTGGTACCCTCCTGAACCCTCCTCTTAGAGTCCGTGAGTATTAGGACTCAGGATAGATAAAAAAGGGTAGAGGGGACATCGGCACCTCAACGTGATCGGGATTTTCAGGTGGGAGGGACATAACATAAAGGCTCAGTGGATGATCGGCTGGTGCCAAAATGCTTCCTGGGGTATAAACTGTGGTGGCAAGAATGTCGCAGAAGATGACATTTTGGTCACGAAAGCATTTATTGATATAACGAGTACGAAGCTGACGAAGGTGTAGCAGAATGTGAGGAAAGGTGATACGGCTATACAATTCTGTAGTGGGACTTGGAA